AGGCGGTGCCGTTGTTCCACACGGATTTCCCGCGTCGTCACACGGAAGGTAAAGGCCTGCACTGCAGTCTAAATGCGATAGACTAGCAATCCTTCCTGCTTTGTGGAGGACATCTCAGCGTGAACCCGGCATGTTTTCTCCTGCTGCATCCCGTGACACCGAGTGTTAACTCTAGTGCAACTTGGTATCACGGCCCGGACTCGTCGTAGTGGCCGACCACTGCTTTTGCACTCAGTGCAAATGTCAACACAGTGAAAAAAACAATGACGTTTTAGTGTGATCGTGAAAAGAACTTCTAAAAATTTATTGGGGGACATTGGCTAACGAGATCACACAGGGTTCAAGTGTACCTTTCTATGCCCCATGATCTGTACATTGCCCTGTGTGCCTGCCACCCAGAGTCCGGTGGCCTCTCATCACCACACATTATGTCACCTCCCCCCCCTGAACCCCCCAGCAGTCTGCTGTCTGTCCAACGGTTTCAGTTTTGTACCCCACGTATGAGGGAAATCATATGGTTCTCAGCTTTTTCTGACTGCCTTGTTTTTCCTAGCATAGTATTCTCCAGTTCCGTCCATGTTATTGCAAATGGTCATGTTTTGTCTTTTCTTCTGGCTGAGCAGTATTCTGTTGGTTTTTCTCCAGGGGACACAAAAATACTGGGATTATCTTCTGGAGGGTGAGCCGCTTGTAGTACAGGCCTCCCCCACTAGGCGAGTGTTCTAGAAACCCATCCGTGTCAGTGCGCCTACTGGCGTTGTTGTGAGAGGCTGTGTTCTGCTTCAGTGAATTTTTTTCAAGACTCAGCGTGTTCGCCCATTTCAGGGTGGATGACTTATGAGTGCATCTGCCCACGCCGCACTGAGTGTTCAGGGGGTTTTCACCAAAAATGGCATGATGCCCTATTCACCTGATCTGTGCTATTCACCTGATCTTGCCATGAGCAACTTTTGTTTTGTTTCCCCCAGATGAAAAATGCCCTCAAAGGGGAACATTTTGCTGACGTTGGAAGAGGTGAAACAAAAAAACGCCAGAAGCCAACAAAATCATTGAGTTCCGAAACTGTTTTGAGCAGTGGGAAAAAAAACATCTCAACTGGTGTATTGCATCAAATGGAGAGTTTTGAAGGTGACTGAGTTTAAACATGAAATAATATATACATAATTCTTTATAAATAAATTCCTGAGGGTTTTCTTTTGGTCCCTCCTGATATACATGTACCACATCTGTACACGGTCCTCCATCAAAGGCCATTCTTGCTGTCCCCGCATCTCGGTCACCGTGAATAATGCTGCCATGAACATAGGGGTGCGTGAAAATAGTTTTGACCTTCCAAAAACTCAGACAGTCTCCGGGCTCTCTAGGGGCCCACAGATGGCGCTTTAAGAACCGCTGAGTGCAGATCATAGAGGCAGTGGGAATGAACTAGAGAAAGATTCCCAGAGAGAGGAGGGTTCCGAAGGCTGGCTGAGTTCTCCTTCCACAGTCAGTATGGACACACCCACCTCCTGGGTTTTGGTTGGTTGGTTTGTTTTGAAGGAGAGCAATGTCCTATGGCTGTTTTCTGTTTTCCCTAACACCCTCCTGTTATCCTCTTTGTCGGGTTCTTTTTAATTTTTCTCCCCTGACCCTTACTTTTACCAACTTCTGTTTCAACATATTTCCCGTGGAAGTTCTGTCTCAGCCCTCGGATTCTGTGTCGTGTTGCTGTGCGGGCTGCACAGGGCTCCTGGCTCCGGAAGGCACCTCTGAGTGGTGCGTGACGCCTCCTCCATTTCCTCAAGAGTGAGGTCTGGGGGCTTCAAAAAAGACACAGAGTTAACAAATGATGAATTTTAAGATAATCCTGCCCATACAGGCTCCCTGTCCAGAGCTCCCTAACAGGGAAAGGCCCCAGGGACTCACCCTGTGTGGGGCACAAGGCGATCCACTTGGGACTAGAGTGCGTGTATGAATATTAACATTCCCAGTTGAGTATGGGGTCCTGCTCATAACCAAACATTACTACTGCTGCCCCCAAATATAAAAATCTCACAAAACGGGATAAATAAAGACCACCAACAGCTTCATGTCTTGCAAGTTAAGTTTTCTTGTGTTGCATCTTGGTGCCGGGAGTCTTCACCACCGGGGGCTCCTCTTAATACCAGGTCAGCAAGTTGAGCCAGGCTCAAGGGTAGTTGAGATGGAAGGCTCTGCAGACTGATCTGTTCAGAGCTGGAGAGGCTGGGTCCTGCAGGGCAGGAAGAGTCTGCCGGGGTAAATGAGACTGTCACCCAGCTGTCCACAGGCCTTCGAATACAAAGGCACGCACCAGGTAACTCTGCTCTCTCTATGGCCCAGGAAGAGTCCCCTTCAGCCTTTGTCCTCAGCTTAGAGAATTGCTTCTAAAACTCAGTTCCTTCTGTCCCCGCCCACCTTCCCCAGCTCCTGACCCTCTGACCTTTCAAGCATAGAACTAGTTGCTCCAAGTCATCCCAAATTCCAAATTCAACATGTCCAAAAAAAAAAAAACCTTTCTCTAAAACTGTTCCCTAGGTCATCAAATATCATTAGCATCCACCTAATTGCTTAAATGAGGAGCTCTATCCTCAATTCTAAAATCCAAAGAGCTGTGAAAACCAAAACCGACGTTTCAAGGTGTCATCAAACTCACTTGGCAACACAAGAAAACTTAACTTGCAAGACATGAAGCTGTTGGTGGTCTTTATTTATCCTGTTTGGTGAGATTTTTATATTTGGGGGCAGCAGTAGTAATGTTTGGTTATGAGCAGGACCTCATACTCAACTGGGAATGTTAATATTCATACATGCACTCTAGTACCAGAACTCTCCAAACCCTAAATTCTGGAACTTATCTGGACCCCTGAGTTTGGCTTAGGGGTTGGGGTCCTGTGACTGCTGGGCTCGTCCTGACTCTTCCTTTTGTAGGGTTCAGAGCACTTGTCTCCTTATTTCCTGGTCCCCAGGTCACGGGTTGCTGGCCTCCTAAGTCCTCCCTTCTATTTCCACAGGCCTCTTGCCGGCTTTCCTGTTTGTCGCCCTGCCCTGTCACGCCTGCTGTTTCCATGTTGGTTAACAGTATCTCCACGCAGCGGAGGTCTCACCACGCCACTGCTCTGCTCTGAATGCCACCTGAGCTGTGGGTTCCAAACTTCAGGCATTCTAGGACAGTCTTCTGGATTTTGCCAACTGTACCACTTCAATTGTTTTTCCTTTAAGTCGATTCATTTTTATTTAATTGATTTGCATAAGAATCTTATGTTCATTGCTGCAAATGGAAAACCCACATTACTTGTCATAAACAGAAGGCAACCATAAATGTAAATAGTAGAAAAACAAAACGACGAGAAACTATGTTTGCCAAAGAGACTGAACGGAGACCTGCTTGGCCTCGTTATTGAAAGAGGTCTTAATAGACCTAATGTTTATTGAGAACTTACTATGTGCTAAGCACCTTCCCAAGCCTTTAAATTTAATTCATTCAATTTCCCAACTGCCCTGTGAGGTCCATACTGTTTATTATTATTCACATTTTACAGATGAGGAAACTGAGCCATAGAGAAGTGAAGGAATTTGGTCAAAGTCACAGAGCCAGTGAAGGGTGTAATTGAAAGGACTAAAAGGAACTGAAAAGATAAGACATTTCTCTTTATGTGATTCAATGTTATTGGTAGTAAAGGACCCACACTTCAGGATTTTTTAAAAAAGGTTATTTATTTCTTTTTAGAGAGGGGAAGGAAGGGAGAAAGAGGGAGAGGAAGATCAATGTGTGGTTGCCTCTCCCACGCCCCCTACTGGGGACCAGGCCCATAACCCAAGCATGTACCCCGACTGGGAATCAAACCAGGGACCCTTAGTTTTGCAGGCCCCGCCCCCCCTCAATCCACTGAGCCACCCCAGCCAGAGCTTTCTCCCTGTCTTCTCCCAGTCATAGTCAGCTCCAAAACCGCACAGCGTCCCCCCGCGCCCACAGGCATAATATATTGCTCCTCTACCTCGAGTCCCAGACACGGCTTATTCTCCTGTCCTGGAACTTTATTCTCTCATATCTCTAGAGCTAAGTAGGGCTTTGTAGCCCCAGATTTAGCACGGTGTCACACACAGAGTTAGTACTCAATACATATGGAAAAATCAGATGGATTCACACAAGCCGGGGTTTCTTCCAACATCCCATCAAATAAAGAGGACAATCGTGTGTCTGTGGTGGATGGTGGCCTCTCCCGATTGTGGAAGAAACTGTACACGGGTCAGAATGGAGGGAGAACGAGGCAGAGAAGGGGAATTCCCTGCGAGGCTGGGTCGGGGAAACGCCTGCAAGTGAGCAGTCAGCACAGCTCCGTTCTACTCGCCTTTCCAGGGAGCAGGTAAGGCCAAGGCTCCAGCATCCGATCGTGGCCAGTGCCTGTGACTTCTAAACTCACCTGTGGGCTCACAGAAGACAGGTAGTCCTTCCCCATTTATGTAAACAGTAAAAAGGCAAACGGAGGCTACCTAACACGAATTACAGCTTGGGGGCTGTATAGATCCGCAGCTCACCGCACGGTGATCTGTAATGCAGTCAGCTCTCGCGGCACGTGGATGCAAATGAACACGGCCGGGCCCACTGGCCTGGAACCGCGCTCGGCTGCGGTCGGCAGGCAGTGCTGGTACGCGCAGTGACGCTCGGGAGCTGCAACCCACCTTCTTGTCACGACCTCCAGCCCTCGGTTGTCTTCAAGAGCCGTTACTACTTTTCGGGGAAGAGTGGACTCCCGGGGCCTCACCGTTGGCTTAATTTAAACTTTCCCGTAAACTTTTTGCTGAGCTGGGCTGGCTCCGCCTTCTGGGCTAAGTGGGCGCGGCCCACAGGAGTCCAGATCGCCATAGCAGCAGGGGAGGCAGGGGATGCCCAGGGGCCCGGAGGGGGCGTGGTGGGTCCGGGGCTGTAGGCGGGCCTCGAGGGGGCGTGACCGGCCGTGCAGAGGGCGGGTCTGGGAGGAGCGGGGGGCGGGTCCTGCAGGGGCGGTCCCAGGAGGCAGCCAGGCTGAGTTAGCTGCAGGCCCGCCGCAGGCCCAGCGCGCCACCATGGTGCTAGAACCCCCGCGGGCGCGGGGACCGCTGCAGCAGCAGAAGCGGCTGAAGAGGAACGGTGGCTGAGGCCAGGTTCTCCGGACCGTGGGCTCGCGATCCCCCGCCGTCCCTGAGCCCCGATCCCTCCTCCCTGCCTTCTCGGGGCGCGGAGGCGACACCGCCGGACGATGCGCGCCCACGGCCGCACAGGAGGCTGAGCCCGCCGCCCCGCGCTCCGCCCGCTCCCTTACGGCGGTCCTCGATGGCCTTGCCGGGCGCGGAGGGAGCTGCCGACAGGCCGGTATCCCCGGCCCCAGGCGCCCCCGCCGGCTCCGCGTCGTCGTCGTCCGCCTCCTCCAGTGGCTCGGCCTCCGCAGGCGCGGGGCTGTGGGCCGCGCTGTATGACTACGAGGCGCGCGGCGAGGATGAGCTGAGCCTCCGGCGCGGCCAGCTGGTGGAAGTGCTGTCCCAGGACGCCGCCGTGTCCGGCGACGAGGGCTGGTGGGCCGGCCAGGTGCAGCGGCGCCTGGGCATCTTCCCAGCCAACTACGTGGCGCCGTGCAGCCCGACCGCTCTCCCAGTACAGCCGCCCGCCAGCTCGCCACCGCGGCCCGGCTCGCCCGTGCACGTCGACTTCGAGCGCCTTGAGCTCAAGGAGCTCATCGGCGCCGGCGGCTTTGGGCAGGTGTACCGCGCCACCTGGCAGGGCCAGGAGGTGGCGGTGAAGGCGGCGCGCCGGGACCCGGAGCAGGACGCCGCAGCGGCGGCCGAGAGCGTGCTGCGGGAGGCACGGCTCTTCGCCATGCTGCGGCACCCCAACATCATCGAGCTGCGCGGCGTGTGCCTGCGGCAGCCCCACCTCTGCTTGGTGCTCGAATTCGCCCGCGGAGGAGCGCTCAACCGCGCGCTGGCGGCTGCCAACGCTGCCCCGGATCCGCGAGTCCCGGACCCGCGCCGCGCGCGCCGCATCCCCCCGCACGTGCTGGTCAACTGGGCGGTGCAGATCGCGCGTGGCATGCTCTACTTGCACGAGGAGGCCGTGGTGTCCATCCTTCACCGGGACCTCAAGTCCAGCAACAGTAAGTGGGACTGGGGCGGGGTGGGCGTGGGTAAGGGGGCAATACGCAGCCGTGCCCTCTGCAGTCCACCCTAGTGCTAGAGCTGGGCGGGCTCCCCGGGCCCAGTGCCAAGTGGAATGAGGCGGGGTTGCCAGCAGCACCTCCTGTGCAAGCCCTCCCTCCAGTAATCAGAGGTCCAGCAACACTCTTTGGTGACTTGCTCTGGGACAGGTGACACACTAACCTTGACTTTGCTTTTGGGTGCCTGTTTTACAAATGCGGATCAGACTTGATTGCAAACAACACTTGTAACATATCTGGGTCTTTTTGAAACTTAATGCTGCTGTTATTTAGCCTTTAGTTACCAGTGTGGTTTGTTCATTTGGGTAGAACTTTGCAAACCGAGGCCTTCGTGGATTGTGCGGGACCCCTGGCCCTCCTTCTGGCCTAGTGACTTTCATCAAACAGCCCTTTCCTTCAGCTCCCCAGGTGCTTATTGAGGTTGCTCCTCTCCCACTTTAAATGTGGCTGCGTGCCCTTTGACATCCCCAAAGGCTTTCCATTCAGAGGTCTCTGTTCAAGAAGTGTGATTTTAGTATTGGTGGGGTAGTGTGAGTCTTGGTGAATAGCCTTCAGATAAGAAGCACCAGTTTGCAACATTAAGCGCATTTGGGTTGATTAAGGGCAAGTTCATTGTCCTTGCACAGCTACTTGAAATCTTGAAGAGTTGGCCTGTATCATTTACTTTCTTTATAAATCTGGGTCAGTTTTCCAGATGTAAATAAGGAACCAGCAGCTAAACAGAACACACGTTCTATTGTATTTCACCATGTAAAAGAGCCAATAGAATGGCTGCTTAAAGCTGGTTCTTCGATATGGGAAATCACTCAGTATTCTTAGAATGAGATGCAATCTTACGACAGATTAAAGGATGCAGTCAGAACTGGCATTGGCCTGCCACAGCTGCATGTCTCTCAACCTTGTAAAACCTGCTAGGACAGGAGCTAACTCAACTGGAAACATTGTCCTTCCCCAAGTCTGCAGAAAGAAGAGTGACAAGAAGATATGATACATTTGTTAGATGTTTTTTCCCATTCAAAATCCTTCAGCCCTGAAATTTACTTGACAGTGACTAACGTAGCATTTTGATTATGAGCACTGTAAATAATTTGTTGGTAACTTTGTAGAAACATTTAATACTTTGGGGTTTATTTTACAACTCCCAGTAACCCCTTGTCTTATCATTTAGGTTGCAAGTGCTGAAGTAACAGGAGCAAATTCTAGCAAAATACAGCGTAGCAAAGAGGCTGCAATAGTGTTTTGTGTACGTTAGAGTTCTGACGGAGGCCATTGGAAGGGCTCCACAGTTATTTACTTTGGGGGCTGTGTATAGCAGACAAAGTACAAATGTTAATGTATTTATTTTTGTAAATGCTTCAAAGCTGACAGTCTTTGCTACCACTTGGTGCTTATTCCCTAAAATATGCTTTTAGTAAAAGAAATGTTTAACCTGCTGCCAAAGAACAAGCCTGTCTGTGTGTCCCATAAGCCTGGCTGTGTGTCTGCCCAGATTTTCCACAAAACCAGGTAGTTTAAGGACAGCGGTGGCGTGAGTGCTTGCCCTGCGTCTTAGCAATTGCAGCGATCCTGCGATTCTCACGGAAACTGGCATTCTGCAAGTGTCTTCTGCTGCACAACATCAGATCCCCAACACAGGCAAATGACTGGGGTTGCATTGATCCTCAGACTGGAAAATCTGTCTTTTGCAGGGCTATAATCATACTTGTGGTCTATGTGAGTTGTCCACAAGGAACAGTGTGTCTACTAGTGTTTGTACAAGCATAGAGAGGGAGATTAATCCATGTTGCAATCATGGACTTTTAAATATAAATTAAAAACTTTTAAAGAACCAGGCAACAGTAAAAAGAAATAACATGGCCGTGGAATAATAACTATGGTTAAATAGTTTTTATTGACACTGGAAAAACTTGTACAGTGGAATCCACTCCAGGGTCCATGGTAGATATTATATAATTTGGAGGTGATTATAGGCTGCAGCTCAGTTTTTGAAAGACTTTCCACCACCAAAACAAATTTCCTGGAGCATTTTAATTTTCTATAATTGTCAGGCAGGGTTGCCTTTGTGTTGAAATTTTGCACTTTTTATGAAAAAGACTTAATTGGCTAGGTCGGTAGCCTCGCCAAATTCGTGTTCCAATACAGCCGTTCATTATAGTTCTTAAACTACTGTGATGTGAACATTTTGAATAGGGCCTACAGTGTGTGAATCATAGCACCTAATACCTCGGTTACTCTGGATCTCTGCTGTTAATTATTCAAGGAATAAATGCAGGTACTTTGGAATCCCCTTGTGATAGCTGAAGCCTTAACGTCTTGTTCTATTACAGTATGTTTTGTTCGACTGTATTTGTTATTTGCTTATGGGGGTAGTGGCTTAATCATAATGTAAACAAGATTTTAAGAATCAATATTGAATTTTTTTTTTAATTCTGTGGTCTACTCAGGTAACAAAGACTACGTATAAGACTACTTGGAACCAAGTGAGTGGAAACTATTGTCTAAAACAAATGTTTAAATTTGTCAAAGGAAGATAATAGTTCCCGATAGATTTTCTTGCCTCGTTTTTCTTTAGTCTTTTTCAGTTTGATCATGTTGTTTGCGACGATGTTTATATTGAAATAATACCTAGTATGTTGTGATGGTACAAGCACTTTTGTCCCTTTCTAACAGACTGCAAAAGATTGAAAGTGGAGCTAAATGTGCAGGTTTTAAGCTTTTTTACGTTGTTACAACATGCTAGGCCCTGTCGCTCCGGGGTTGCATGGTAAGCAGAGGACAGTTCGCTAAGTCTCTGTCTGTGCAGCACCTAGTCAACAAGGCGGTGCAACTGGGGTTTGCAGTGAACCCAGCCAGGTTTCTATGCATCCAGGGAATGGAAAAATCATGGTGAGCTGGAACTCATTCATTCAACGTGTTGTGGGCGTCCCTTCCCTACCGGTGACTCCTGGGCCCCAGGGACTCAGTGGCAAACCAGATGATCATATCCTGTCTGGCACAGGGCACAGTCTACTAAGAAAGGTAGATAGATGGCAGCCGTGCGATGAAACATTAGTACGTGCTTTCAAGAGAATAAAGCACGGTGTGGGGCAGGATGGTGGGGGCCGGCGGCTCTGAGAACCGGACACAAACAGGGACGTGGACAGCAGGAGGCACGGGGCAAGCAGAGATCCAGGCAGAGGGAAGATGAAGCCTGGAGAGGCCGTGGGATGAGGCGGGAGTGGAGAGTGCGCAGATGGTCAGCGTGATGACCCTTGCGGGTGGCGACCCACCCTGACCACCTAGCCGTGCGCTCTGAGTGTTGCCCACCGCGAGCCCTGCGCCTGGCGTGCGGAGGAGCCGTGTGGTCTGATTTCTGTGTGTACAGGCTGCTGTGGCTGCTCCGGAGGGCGGACGCACTGCTGGCCTGAGCCAAGGCTGGCCAGGTGGTCCGGGCTGGGCAGGCACAGTGGGCCCGGCCGAGCGTGGGTGCGGTACAAGTGGTTTCCAGGAAGTCCTGCGGAGGAGTGGAGATAAAACGGCACAGTACGCAGGCTGCCGAGGACGGCGCGGATTACGAGAGTGCTTCGAAGTGTTTCGTTTACCCTGGCTCAGCTCAGGATTGAAAGAAGATTGCGTGGCATAACTATGATTCTTTTTTTTTAAAATGTTGTGTCCTGTGTTCCATCCTTTTTGTAAAAGTAGAAAATAAACATTCCGTGAGAAATTGAACCACAAATTTAGGGGGCTGCTTACTTTTATACTTTTTATTTCAACGATGAAGCAACTTTTTACGCTGATTATTTTAGCCTTCTGGGAATAATTGTTACCTATATCATTATCAACAGCCTCTACAATCTATAAATAGACATAAATGTTTATTAGGAAATATAATTTAGAGCTCTAACTAAAAAAAAAGGTACAAAAGGAATTTATTTCTTCTTAGCTTTCCTCATTAATGCAATGTACATAAAGGAACTATTTGAGAAAATTATAGCAAGTGTAATCTCTAAGGCGCTTAAAAAGCTTTTAAGAGTGACTCGGAGGCGCTATTAATTATGCTACAATCAGTTAAAAGACCCGCGCGCCTTCCTTCTCCGTCCGCCCCTTTCACTCCGGATGTGTAGCTTCACGCCACCGTGGCCACTTCCTGCTCTGGGGACACAGGGAGATCAGCCCCGACATCCCAGTGGCTACAGAGCCAGTCTGCTTCGGAAACACAGCCTGCTCCAGGGCAGGCTTTTAGAAGAACAGCAATCTCGGAGGGTCACCCCACCTTCCCCTTCCATTCTCCTGCTTGCATATCAAACAGATAGGCCTCTTCTCCTGCTTTATGGTCGTGAGGGGGCAGGTGTATAGTTCTGCTTCTGCAAACTGACTCTTCGGTGTCCACGCGGGGTCATTTTCCTGGTCAGCCCGTCTGTCTGCACCTTAACGGCAGAGGGGAGGGAAGTAGCCCCCCCTTTCAGAAGGCCGTCTGCAAGTACTGTGTTCCCACGCCAGCACACACATGCCAAACTTTTCCAGACCAGCCAGTTACTGGAAGGAGCGTTGGTTTTTCTAGAATACTACGGTTAACTGGAAGTCACTCAGACCGGTGTTTGGATATTGGTGTCATCATTTACGAGCTGTGTGACCTTGGGCGAGTTATATAACCTCATTGGACCTGAATTTCTTGATTTCTGATGCTGTCTACTGAATCCCTTTCTTGGAGCGAACGGAAGTCTTGTAGGAAAAAAATCTGTTTAATGTTTCTTTAACTCTTCAAAAGCAGTTGAATAAACACTGGCATGAAAGTATAGGGGTTTTTGAGGGGAAAAGGACGAGCTGGGTGTGGCTAGGACGAAAGGTAGACAGATGGTGGGGCGTGGTTGTGGGCAGGACACAGGCACCCAGCACGTGCCAGACCGTGGGTGCCTTGAATGCACACTGACATGTGTCCGCTGTCCAAGGGTGCGAGTGAA